GCCACGCAGGGCTGGGATGCCAGAAGCCATAGTCAGGCATTGAGTTGTAGACAGGAGGCAAGTAGTAGAATCGGGATTAAGCAAGAGTCAGGAGCCAGAGTCTGGGGTTCACAGCAAGGCAAGGTCTGAGTGGAAATAATGAAGAAACAATGCATTGTTACTCAGACAGCTCCCTGTGATGGCTTTCTGGTATATATACCAGCACTGGCCAATCGGTGGGCAGCCACTCAGGCCCCACTGTACAGTACTTCCTGCATTGTCTAGCTTCACAGGATCCCCCAGCAGAAACCCGGTCTGAGCTTCCAGTGGCGATGTTGAAGTGTTAGTGGTCTGGAATCCCATGGTGCCAGGTTCTAGTCTTGCAGGTTCTTACACAGAGTTGGAGGAGCAACAGGTAAAGTCTATCAAACAGTGTCACGTTCACTGACTCCTGCCGTGATCTGCCTCTCATCAGCCAGTGATCCAGGCAGGGAGAGACATGAAAGCCTTGCATTCTCAGGTGGGCCAGTGCTGTAGAGGGCCCGAGCAGCTTTATCTTGTACAGGTAATGATATAGTCCCACTTTGAATTTTGAGTACTTCCTGCAGGCTAGGTGGATAGATATATGGAGGTACACACCTTGTAATTTGAAAGCCACAAACCATGCTTGAGCCTGAAGAAATGGAACAACAGAGGCAAGTGATACCATCCTGAATCTGAGGCGGTGTGTGTAGCTGTTCAGTCTCTTCAGGTTTAAAATAGGATGAAGACCCTTCTTCCTTGGCATAATGAAATATCATGGCTAGAAGCCTCTTTCCCTATACTCTTGAGACTCCTCTATGGATCTTAGGCATGTCTACACTACTAGCTAAATCGGCACTGCTGCGATCGATGCAGCAGTGTAGATTTAGCAGGTCTGGTGAAGACATGCTAAATCGATGGAGAGCACTCTCCCATCAATTTGTGTACTCCACCTCTCCGAGAAGTGTAAAGGAAGTTGGCGGGAGACCATCTCCCATCAACATAGCGCAGTGTAAACACTGTGGTGAGTGGATCTAGCTACGTCGACTTCAGTTACATTATTCACATAACTGAAGTAGTGTAACTTAGATCGATTTACCATGGTAGTATAGACCAGCCCTTCAATGAAGGAATGAGGCCATTTCTCTTTGTAAAAGACTCTCGTGTGAAGGATCCCTGGAGAGGGACAGGGAAGGACAGTGGGTGGGCAGAAGGTGTGAAAATAAAGGGGCTAGCCAAGGGCTACTATATCCAAGACTGAAGACTGGCTCCTGATCTGTTCCTATGTGGCTCCTGACTTTCCCGTCAAATCTACTGTTTGGATGATGGGACAGAGTGTGTGACAGAGGAGGCAGATGACTGGAGTCTCCTTGAGTATCACAATTGTTTCCATGATAGGTACTCTGGCTGTCTGCCCTGAAAATATGGGTGAGCCTACTGTGTTGAGAGGGGCCCTTGAATCCTTCAAGAAGCACAGTGCTTCCTGAGTTCTTTTGTTGAAGAGGTCCATACCATTGAAAAAAGAGATCTTGTATGCTGTCCTCAACTTCCCCATGGCAGATGCTAACAGCCTCATGGTTACAGCCATGGTCATCAAACTTAAGGCCGTGCTGGAGGTATCCCAGGCTGCCTCTAGGGCTGTACTGGTAAACATTTGACCTTCTTTGAGATCCATATATGCTCCAGAGTCCTGCAGTACTTTCACCAAGAAGGGAACCAACCCTTTCCCACTTCAGGAAATTGTATCTGGTGAAAGTCCGGTAGTTGGCCACATGGAGTTACACTAAAGTGGACGAGTAGGCTTTGTACCTGAATATCCTTGTTCTTGGGCGTGCCTTTTGTTGATTTTGATTTTTCCTGAATTACTGCAACTACCAATGATCCTGGGTTTGGATGGGAATAAAAGTATTTGAATTTTTTAGAGGTACCTGACAGTCCCACAGTTCACCTGTTCTAACATGGACTGGGTGGTAGCAAGGGTTTGCCAGAGACCCTTGGCTAGCTATCGCATGCCCTCATTTATGGGGAGAACAATTCTTGCCAGATCTGATGGAGTCAAAATGTCAAAGAGTTGACAGGATTTCTCTTGTATGACTGTCATTTTTATATCTGGGGTCTCCACCAAAGGAGCTCGGAGATGCTGTAAAGCTTTAAAGTCATCAACTGTCAAGGCAGGAGCTGGTATGACTGCATCAGGTGAAGATGACTACTCTTTAGGAGGAGATTGAGGATTCCTGGTATTGTACAGCTCCTGGGTACTGGGTCAGGCTCTAGTACCAGTAAGGCTAAGGTGGCATGGCGTAAGGGTACTGGGGCCCATTTATAGCTGGTTAGCCCAATGCCACCCATGTATCTTTTGTGGTGTTGTGCCTTGTGAGATGGATCTCTGGTAGCAGCTCTAGGTTTACTCTCAGGAAGTAGAGAAGAGGCATTGCTGCTCAACATGAAGGAGAAATCTGGAAATGGAGAAGAAGAGAAATACTCTTCAAATGGGGGTGCAATGGGGTAATGTCAACATAATGATGTCCCCAGAGAGGATCCTGACTGCTCTGTAAGGGCAGGTCTTAGTCCTGAAATTGACGCAGGTGCCAGTTTACTCCGTGCTACTCCCTTAGCAGAGGACTTAGACACTGTCCATGGACGACTGATGTCTCATCACATCTCCCTGAGCAATACTTCTCAGTGTTTGATCTCCACTTGGCCCTGCCTTTTGGTCACGCTCGTGTGTTGGTGAACTGGTGTGAACATTATTTGTGCCAGAGGCATTGTTGCCAAGCATGTTGCTACTAGTGCCAAAACAGTTGTTTGTTCTGGTGTAGCAGCAGCTGGTGCCAAAGGTTTCAATGCTGGGGCAACAGGTGTCCATTTTCATGGATTTTTTTTCTTTTGCTGCTGGCCACCGGGGTGTGGTGCTTCCTCGGATGGCACCCACTAAAGACATCTTCTTTGGAGGAGGAAGTCTTGTCTGGATCTGAGGTGATGCTCATTAATTGCCTGAGTAGGTGTAGTTTCAGCCGTGCGTCCTTCTACTTTTGAGTCCTTGAGAAGGACGACACACATGCTAAATACTAATCAGTGATGGGACTCCTCTTGAGACAGGAAAGGCTGCTGTTATGCTCATCAACCACGGCAATGAGTCCATTGCAGGTTGGGCAGGGTTTAAACCCTGTGGGTTTAGAGTCTGCCATGGCGGTTGGCATGAGGCATCTTGCCCCACTGTACAGGAGGGGATGTAGGTTTGTTCTTTTTGTTTTGTTTTTAGGAACATTCAAATTAAAAAATAAATGAAGATGAGTGTGAAGATAGATTTCTTCATATAACCAGTCAAGGTGATTAGTTTGAAGATCACAAAAAAAAGCGGGTTCTGTCTTGCTGCAACAGGTGGTAAGAGGGAACTGATGGAGGGCTGCAGCAACCCCGCCCTCTATACCCTCGCAGGGAACATGAGGCGGCACAGGGTGCATGTGCAGCCTGGATGGACATGGCTATTAAAAAAAAATCATCTAACCTCACACGCACAGGGCACGTGCAAACCTACAGTGGGATCCACACTGACACATACTCATAGAAAGAGAAGATCTATGAAGTTAGCTGCTTGAAGTGCATGGAGACTTTTAAAAAAACCTGAGGGTAATTCTGGAGTTGGATCCTAAAACAAATGAGGAGCTACTGGGATTTGTGAATGGGGTGATGTTATGTGTATATGGGAGAAAGCAGGCAGGAGCTTTCTGCTGGAAAGCTGGGATATCGGCAATATAGAGTGAATAAAATGCAAAGACCAAGGTTTTCAGAGGTGAAGTTGAGTGAAATGCATATATGGTCACTGTAGTGATGACTAGGGCCCTACCAAATTCTTGGCCATGAAAAACTTGCCATGGATCGTGAAATCTGGTCTTTTTTATGCTTTTACCCTATATTACACAGATTTCACAGGTGAGACCAGCATTTCTCAAATTAGGGGCCCTGACCCAAAAGGAAGTTTCAGGGGGATTGCAAGGTTATTTTGGTGGAGGGGTGGGGGGAGTGTCACTTTATTGCCACCCCTATTTCTGCGCTGCCTCGGACAGTGGTGGCTGTTGGCTGGGCGACCAGCTCTGAAGGCAATGCAGAAGTAAGGGTGGCAATACCATACCATGCCAACCTTACTTCTGCGCTGCTGCTGGTGGCAGCTCTGCCTTCAGAGCTGGGCTCCTGGCCAGCAGCCATCGCTTTCCAGCTACCCAGCTCTGAGGGCTGTGCCGCCATCAGCAGCAGCGTAGAAGTAAGGGTAGCATTACTGCAACACCCCCGAAAATAACCTTGCAACCTCACCCCCAACTTCTTTTTTGGGTCAGGACCCCTACAATTACAACACCATGAAATTTCAGATTTAAGTAGCTGAAATCATGAAATTTATAATTTTTAAATTCCTATGACTGTGAAATTGACCCAAATGGACCGTGAATTTGGTAGGGCCCTAGTGATGACACATGGATTTACAAAGTCGTATCAGAACAAAGATACATCAGAGTCACCGATAAAACAAATGTTACAGGCATCACAGAAAAATGGGAGGATGGAGGACTGGTATATTGAATTAGTCAAAGATGTAAGTTTTGAAAGATTAATTTATAAACCACAAACTTAACTAACAGAGTACAATGTAGTTGTGGGAATTTCTTTGAGTGCATTAGTAATACAAATGTCAATCTTATCTATGCAAGACAACATGTTTAAAACATTAAAAATAGTTTCTTAACTGTATATTCTTCACTATTCCACACAAGAGTGAAAAAGTGAAATGGACTCAGATTTATTTTCTTTATCTTCGTCATGTATTATAATTCTAATAGGTAACTGTATCAGGGGGTTAAAAATGTATATTTGTATACGTTTCTTAATTGTAAGAATATGCGAATGTGGATTTTTAATATACTTCAAGAATAAAAATATGTTTAAATGTAGTTTTACCATTTTGGCATTCAGGAGAGCAGTAAAGTAAATCTAAGACTTTGGCTTACCAACAGAGGTAGTCCTGATCCACTGCCAGAACTCTGTGACTGGTCAATAAGATCCTTTAATGACTCCCCGACTGGAATAAATGCTTCATCTTGCTCCAGATCACGATTATAACAACGTCTTTTTGCTACCCATCTACAGTAATGTCTGCAAAAGAAAAAAAAGACACATTAATACTTTTAAATATAATGTTACAGTTTATTAAACATCTTGATCTATGAAAAGAAAAAAGCTAAATTTATGTTTTTAAAAACAAGCAATATTTATTACACGGTCATGTCATTTTTAGATGACAGATTGAAGAATATTTAAATTGTGTACAAGAGACACTTGAAAATGTTATATGACCACTTGATAAATTGTAAATCAGTATGTCTACATGAGTCTCAAGTCAACATTTCCATCTGGGCTATATTAACTTCAGTTAGAGCAAATTAGGACTTTCTATCAATATTTGCAGTATTTTTGCCAATAGGATTACAGAATACAAGTGAACTCAGTTCATCTGAGTAATGGTTGAGATATCTTTTGGTCAGTGATGCTGGAGCTAAGAGCTGCAAATGACTGTTCTGTAGCAACTGTTTAAAAATGCCTATAATTTTTCTCCTATTTTTCTTCTTTTTTTCTTTCCAACAAAACAAATATAACAAAAATCGCAAACAGGAAAGCAGAGATTTATTTTATATGCAATTATAATGAAGCCATGATTTTTTATATTAAACTTCTCTGCTATGTCAATGCCTTCAATTATGACAACTTGGCTAATGATCTAAACCCCAGCTGTCACACAATAAACATTGTTCCTGGAAGCACCCACATTGAATATGAGGATTACAGTCTGTTTTTGTTCTGTTCTATTCTGCTCTTTGCTGCTTCCACTCCTGGAACTCATAAATGAAAGGAAAGTGTCCTAAGTACTTAAGATTTTGTCTATTTCGCTAACTTCCAAATGGGCAAAACAACAGAGAAACTGAGTGAAGCGACTTGCAACCCAGACTCCATTAGGTCCTATTACCACAGTATTATTAAAATCCCTGATTTGTCCCCAAGAGAATTTCTAGGCCAAGGGCACAGAGGAAGCACTATAAGCTCTAATTTCTATTCAGGTTCCAAGAGCACATGCACCATTGTGGTGCCTGAGCACATCCTGAGCAACTCCTCTAGAGAAAAATAGGGAGGGTGAAATCTACTTTAAAAATTCATGTACAAACAGCTTTGTAAAGTTAGAGTTAAGGTTACTGCCCTACAACCAGGCTTTCCACTCCCTACATGCTCCCAGAACATAGGGCTTCAAGATCCAAAATAACTGTCTGAAAAACAGAAAATGCTCAGTTAAGATCTCCCCACACATTCCTCCCCTCCCCCGCAACACCTTCAAAATGTTTGTGTTCTGGGGGAACTATATTATTGGTTTAAATTTATGGTTTAGAGTAAAGAATATTAGGGTCAACCGTGCATCCCTGTGCAGTGGGAAAACAGAGAATGACAAGTGACAAAAATGCAGAATGCTTTGTTTTCAATTCAGACTATGCAGGACAAATATAGCTATTTTTTTTAAAAAAGTAGAAAAACTGTAGAAAGTTTTATTCCTGTGGCTTATTTGAATCTTTAATATGTTCCTAGGACAGAATAATGCAGAAGATAAAACTCAGAAGTAGCACAAAAATAAAAACAGCAGTGGCTGAATATCCAACTGGGCAAATGCGCTAACATATTGGTGCCACAGGACCCTCTGTTGCTTTTTACAGTTTCAGACTAACACGGCTACCCCTCTGATACTTAACATATTCTTGTTTATGGAATTTTATAGTGCCAAAATAATACCTTGTTTTGAAAACCTGTACAGTTTTCACACATGGCTGGAATAAAACATCAAATTCTATGCAATTCCATACAACATGTTAATGTCCACATTTTTACCTAACACTATAAACTACTGTCCATAAAGATGTAAAGTTACATTTAGCTGGTTTCCTCTTGGATCTATTTAAAAAAAAAAATCTCTCTAACTAAACACATCTCTAGAGTAAGTCATTGTGTATATCATCATATAGGAAAAAATACTAGTGCGAAAGGAAGTACTTCTCCTTACTTGTAACAAAGGCAGCTAAATAAGATGATCATAACAATGATGCAGACTGCCATACAAATCAGCACTGCCATCCAACGAACGCTGCCATCAAAAAGTCCATCTGTTTAAAAAAATAAAACAGTTACAATACTTATTTCCTAAAAAAGTTGACAGTAGTTAGATTTTAGTATAAATAAAATATTCTATTTATCAGTCACTTTCTCATAGATTATGTATTTTGTAATTGCCAATTTTGTAAACATCTTCCCCATGAAATATTATTTTTCATTTGGAGCTACAGCTACACTCAGCAATATCAGGGATCCTTCCAAAAGGGGCAGCAGGGATAAAGAATTGCAAAGCATCAGATTTTATTCTCTGTAGCAACACTGACAATACTGTGGGTATGCCACACGTTTTTTATACATACTTATATAAAATTCCTTGCTATCTTAATATTGCCTACAATACCGGTGGTAACTCACTCCAATGCTCCTGAAGGCTTTCACTTCCAACAGATACAAAAAGTAATATATACTCCAGCTTAAAAAAAAAACACTCATACCAACGGAAAACCTTACTGGTAACCTCACATATTCTTCTATCAACAACTTTGCACATCTGACTGTCCCACATCCCATGCAATGGGTAAATTACTCTTCCTTAGCACTGCTGAATTTTCTTTAAAGGATTTAATGTATTGTTAGAGTAGGCAAATTTCAGAGGAGACATGAGACTGAAGTACTTCTATCTATCTTCAGTGGTTGTTGAGACAGAATTTGAAGTTCTTGTGGCACTTCTTATAAACAGTGAAGGATAGTTCCAGAATCTTGCCAATATATCCAGTCTCTCCTGTGAGGCTGGCTGATTCACAAAATTGACAATGGGCTATAGAGACTTCCATCTCTAGGTTATTTATTTAAATCTAGTCCAGGTCAATAGCTATCAAATGTTCCCACCTGATGGCTGTTGGGTGGTCTACATATCACAGTTTGGTAGTCTCAGAACAAGTCCTAGTAGTACCATGCCCATACCTCAAGAGCACCCATCACAATCCTTCAGGGCTGTCTTATTAGAGAAGTCAATATTTAATTGAAATTGAACTACGTTCACATCAGTATATTTCAGTTTCCTTTCCCCTGACAGCATAGTGGCCAAAACTTCCACAGTTACTGTCCATGCTATATTTGTTCTGTGAATAAATACAAGAACACAGTTTCCAGAAATGTCTATTCTAGCACCTTTCACAACTCTAAATTCACTAAAATAGAAAATGTAAACAGGATCTACTGTCTAAGGCTATATGCGAGAGATCAGAAACTTAACAGATCATATGATTTTCACAGGACTCTAAGACTCACCTGTTTCCCCAAGCTATTTCAAATGAAAGTAAGGGAGTTAAATAAAGCTAGAGACCAGGGAAAGGTAGGAATGTGATATATTTTAAAGGACTGGAAGGTCCATTTACAATCATAGTCTTGTTGACTTTTTTAACATATATAAGTCTTGTTCTGTGCCTGTAGCACAGACACAGGGTAAGTGCTTTTATAAAAGTGGATACGTAAACCAACAATAATTCCTGTTCCATTTAGTAACACACTACTTCACTAGCTAGATATTGTAGGTTCTCCCCTTTCTCCCTCAGGAGAGTGAAAATTCCAGGGGGAAAATGGGTCAGAAATGCTTACTACAGAAGAGATTAAGGCACACTCCACAGTCACTGCAGGGCCTTATGTACCACTTGGATCCCAGTGCCACTGCTGATCATATGGCAGAAAAGACGGGAGCTGAGAGGACTTTTGGAAGGGAAGGTTTTTTTGTCAAATTCTAGAAGTACAAAACAAAACAAAACCATAGCAGCCAGCTAAGATACAGAGCTATCTGTGAAGTGGAAATGGGTTTGAGCCACAAATGAGGCTCCTGGTATAAAGTCACTATTATACAAAGCTTAGGATAGTTATTAAATATTTATATAATTAAAAGTTGGGGTTCCAGAGGTTGATGAAAGCTGAGAGAACTTGGAGGTGAACACAGTTGCAAAGGCAGACATCATCCAAAAACAAAGTGATTATGGAGTAGGAGACCTTTTGATGAATCCTGTCAATTTTGGCTTTAAAAAATTAGAAAGACCTAGAGGACTGAGAGACTGAAAAGAGTTTGAGCAAAGGGTCTAAGATGGAAAGGAATTTCTGGACTGAAGAAATGAACAAAGATATAATAGTTCAGTTAGGAGCAGAGCAGGAGGAAGAAAATTTACAGTACAGACAGTTGGATGAGGTCCTGAGACTTCTTTCAGAGATAGTCAGCACTGCAAAAGTAGCAGCAGAAGTTATGGAAAAACCTAGGCTGCAGACTGATCATAGGATAAAACAGGGGTGGGCAAACTTTTTGGGCCGAGGGCCACATCTGAGTGGGGAAACTGTAGGCAGGGCTGGGGCAGGGGGTTGGGGTGCAGGAGGGGGTGTGGTGTGCAGGAAGTGGCTCAGGACAAGGGATTGGGGCAGAGGAGGGGTGTGGGGTGCATGAGGGGGCTCAGGGAAAGGGTTTGGGGTGCAGGAGGGGTGCAGCATACAGGAGGGGGCTCAGGGCAGGGGTTGGGGTGCAGGAGGGGTGCGGGGTGCAGCAGAAAGCTCAGGGCAGGGGGCTGGGGTGCAGGAGGGGTGAGGAGTGTACGAGGGGGCTCATGGCAGGGAGTTGGGGTGAAGGCAGGGAGCTTAGGGCAGGGAGTTGGGGGGCGGGGTGCAAGAGGGGTTTGAGCTCCGGCCTGGCGCTGTTTACCTAAAGCGGCTCCGGGGTGGCAGCAGCGCGCACTGGGGCCAGGGCAGGCTCCCTGCCTGCCTACCCTGGCCCCGGCCCTGCGCCGCTCCAGGAAGCGCTGTGGCCCCTGGGGGAGGGGGGGCAGAGGGCTCTGCATGCGCTGCCCTTGCCGCGCCTCCAGGTACCTCCCCCGAAGCTCCCATTGGCCAGGGTTCCTCATTCCCAGCCAATGGGAGCTGCGGGGGGCGGTGCCTGGAGGCAAGGGCAACGCACGTGGAGCCCTCTACCCCCCTGCCCGAGGGCTGTTTCTGAGAGCGGTGCGGGGCCCGTGCTGCCATGGGGGGCAATCCCGCAGGCCGTATCCAAAGCCGTGAGGGACCGTATCCGGCCCGCGGGCCGTAGTCTGCCCACCCCTGGGATAAAATGATGCACCAGGGAAGCAAAGTGTGGAACAAAAGGACAGTGACCACGTAGTCAGAGTAAGGCAGGCAGGTATAAGGAGGCAGCAGATGCTCTGAAAATTCTGAAATGGGTATGAATGAAAGAAAATGGGACATAGAAAATAGGTAATGCAGAAGTTGTTAAAATTAAAATGATGATTGCTGGGCAGAGGAACATCTGAAATGGAGAAGTTTGAAAGAGGAAAATGCCGTGTGAAGGTCAGGTCAAGGGGGAGATGGAGTTGACAAGTGTAGGATTTAGCACAGACCTTCGGACCAAAGGAGGTAATGAGGAAAGAAACTGAGGCAAGGGCAATACTCCAGTCCTACACTTTCTCCTAATATTATATCAATTGGTCAGGAGGAATAAACCCATTCCAGATTAGTCTGTATAAACTGATAAAACAGCAGTTTACCTGTACTACCAAGTGGCGGTAGTGTGGGCTGCAGATCCCGATTGCAGAAATCAGTTCGACAGCATTCAATTGTCCGACGTAGCTGTGCTTTTGGGGAATCCTATAAATGGAGAACAAGAGAAAATAACTCAAAAGTTCTGAAATGGCCAAACAAGAATGATATTACAGATAGTATAGATGTACCGTACTGTAGAGATTACATAGTTAAGACTGAGTTCTGTTTTGCACATAAAACAGGGATTCAACCCTCTTGGTTATGTATGAAAAATATATCACGTATCCGCTCCCAAATTTATGGCATATACTCTGACTACAGAATTAATTTCTGATAATTAACAAGTTAAAATTGATCTTAAAATGGGTTTTAATACATTTAGCATCTATGTCAGTTTTTTCTTTGTCCCAACTGGTATTAGTAATGGAATAATAATTTGAAAGTTTGAAAAGTCTAACTGAAATCTTGTGCATGGCCTCCGGGGGGGAGCAGTCATTGACAGCATAGGGGAAAGAGTCACCCAGCTCTCAGTTCAAGTACCCAGACCTGGTATGGATAACAGAAGCCCTGAGCTGAAACTGCAGGGAAGTCCTGTTAATCTCTGGAGCATGCCCATGCTCAGCCCTGCATATCACACGCACATGTGTATATATATTGTATCCAGTAATTAGCTGCACAATATGAAATTTAATGTAAATATCACATATTTCAAAATAACAGTTGAGTGACAAAGGAATTTTCTTCAGACCCAGTAGAGTATTAACATGGCAGAAGTTAGCTTTTCAAAATTTATATTTAAATTATATATTACACACCACAACTCAAGAGACTAGTGAGTTTGTGTGTCCATTCCAAGACTCTTTAAAGAGTCCTTATTTTCAGAACGTGGTTGCTCAGGAGATTTGGAAAAATCAGGACCCTTTAAAGGTGTCTCAAATTGGACTCCTAGAAATAGAGTGGGGTGACCAACCTGTGGCGCCAGAGCCACATGCGGCTCTTCAGAAGTTAATATGCGGCTCCTTGTATAGGCACTGACTCCGGGGCTGGAGCTAAAGACGCCAAATTTCCAATGTGCTGGGAGGAACTCACTGCTCAACTCCTGGCTCTGCACAGGCCCTGCCCCCACTCCACCCCTTCCCGCCCCCTCCCCTGAGCCTGCCGTGCCCTCGCTCCTCCCCCTCTCCCCGCCAAGCCTCCATGCCACGAAACAGCTGATCGGGAGGTGCAGAGAGGGAGGGGGAGGCGCTGATTGGCAGGGCTGCCGGTGGGCGGGAGGCACTGGGAGTAAGGGGGGGGGGGAGAGAAGAGCTGATGGGGGGGCTGCTGACATATTACTGTGGCTCTTTGGCAATATACATTGGTAAATTCTGGCTCCTTCACAGGCTCAGGTTGGCCACCCTGGAAATAAAGGCTCCCAAAGATACTAGTCACCTTTGAAAATATTGGCCCACAGACTGTTTCCTTTTTCAACCCTGTAGACAAAACAAAATTTTCAGCTCAGCCCTCTTCTCTTCTGCCCCCTTTGAATGTGTGTTTCATGTACTTACTTTGCTGCCAATCCTGAAACAGACAGGATGTGTGTGTGCAGTCAACTGCAGGACTGGGGTCTTGATTTGTCAACAGCATAGCATCATCCACCATAGTAAAGGGCAATATGCAAAGTCCCTACTGTAATGGTTGTGCTCTGCATAGATTTAACTGCTCACAGCTACCCTGCATAATCTCCATCATGTTCCCTTTATGGACAATTTTAAAAATAAATGAACTTGTTTGTACCTTGCACTGAAAATCTGAACCTTCATACTTCATGCAACCTGAAGCAAGGATGGGTTCTCCATGTTCATCTTCTTCAACAATGGCAAAGCAATGCCCGTTAGTTCTGGAAAAACACATCATTCCAGTTCACCAATTGCTGTGCAAAGTTAACTGGCAATCAACCTATTTATGAAAATTAGTATGTGCACCCTACAATGTTTCTTGTCCTAATATAAACTGATCACCAGAGTGTGGGTGAGACTAAAGGAAATGAGGTACACAGAGTTGTTGTTTTTTTGTCTGAACTAAAATCAGAGGATACCAATATGAAGACACTGGTCAAGATACATATTTTTTCAATATAAACCTCAAGTTTAGAAGCTAGTAAAAGGCTCCTAACCTTCACACATGAGGCAAAAAGGTCCCAGGTCAGCATTTCCCATTGGGTAAACATGTCGTTGAGAACTGAATTGTCAATCTCCCAATTCATGATTCACAGAAAAATGTCTGCTCCGGCAGTCCATTAGGGAGTTTTGCAGCCTTGGTAAATATGCTGCTTCTACCTCTCATTGAGGTGGAGTATTGAAGTCGATGGGAGAGCGCTCTCCCATTGACTTAGTGCATCTTTACCAGACCCGCTAAATCAGCGCTGCTGCATCAATGGCAGCGGCACCGATTTAGCACAGTAGTTAAGACAAGCCCCAGAATCTCCTTGAGAGTGGTACCTGCAAAGGAACCAGAAGGTGGTTTGTGGGTAGGAGTTACCAGAAACTCAATCTGCTAGCTGCCATGAATATTCTCTAATACATATTTATCTGTAATTAGCGTCCTCCAGTTTTTGGCAAATTAAATATGGTGGCCTCCAAATATCAGATGAGAGGAATGACGTGACATCAGTAAAGAAACATGGGTTTCGACAGTCCTGTCAAAAGAAAAACTCTTTGCCTGGAGTTAACAGTACAGTGTGGCAGTAGATGTTGCAGAGGCTAGGTTCCTGGTTCTATAAGCCTTCTGTCTCTTGCTTGCGGACTCCTGAGGACATTGGTGGTAAAAATGTTGAGGAGGAATGTAATGGGGTATACAAACCACACACTGGGCAAAAGGGGTTAAGGCACTGCTCTGGGCACAGCTACATCTGTCAGAAATGCTCCAACTGGAAAAGGAGTTAAAAGGCAGAGGAGCAGCTTATTTGGTAGCAGACCAGGGAAGACAGCAGACCAGGGAAGACAGCAGACCTGCAACCTGCAGCTCCAGCAGAGAAGAGCTGAGGGAAAGGCAGAATCTCTCCCCTGCCAAAAGGTTCCTCCCTGAGGGAAGGGAGGACCTGCTACAAAGAATCTGAGAGGGAAGGTTTTTCCCTCTCCCTCTCATATGGCCTCTGAGTTTTGTTAATTCCCCCTTGGACTACCCCCTAGCAAGGGAAAGCCCTAGGACTGATCAGGCCCAGGAGGGTGAGCCATACCACAGGAGGATGCAGTTGCTGCCCAGGAGAGGAAGAGAGCTACCACGCTACACACAACCACCAGAAGGTGCCTTGTGGTGAGAGGACACCCTTCACACCGCCTTAGCCCAGACAGCGACTTTGGGACAATCTCAGGTGGTAATAGGAAGTGGCCCACGGAGAGCAGCCTCTGGCTCTCATACCACTGACAGATCTCAAAGGGCCTTGAACAGAAGCCCAGTGAAGTGGAGAGCCTGGACTCCCCTACCAAGAACACCCCTGAAAGTCACAGGCCTAAGCTCTGACCACTAGGTAATGCTACCCTACCAACCAGTAACAATGGTTGCATCTCAAGGCAAGCAGGTGGGATGGTCAGGTCCTTCCACCAACTGGATGACTCTAGGATCCACTGGGGAACAGAGAGTAATCTGCCTAGCCCATGCTTGCTTGGTTTGTAAACCGTTCAAAGCCATCCCTTTGACCTTGGCGATGTGATCTGGCATCTTGCACTACAAAGATTCAAGCTGATATCCACCCCAGCAATTGAAGACAATCTCTTACTGTTATTTGGGGACTGCCCTGAATCTTTGAAATGAAATTCACTAGTATGGGAAATCTGCCATAAGGGAGATATGCTCTGCCTGTCACTGCACATAGAGGAGCTCCTATGAAGTCTAGACTCTGTAGTGGAGTCAAAGCAGACTTTTCGAGGTTGATTTGAAGGTCCCGACTCTGAAACAGAACACGTTATCTTTAATGATGCCTACACTTCCTGATATGATGTACCCTGATCAACCACTCATCGAGGTATGGGAAAATGATTATAACCAAACAATGTAGCAACTACTGCCAGAATCTTTGAGAATATCCTTAGGGCTGGAGATGGGCCAAAAGAGAGCATCCTGTATTGGTCAAGAAACCTCTTGTGTGAAGGGTGAAGAGTGACATGAAAATATGCATCTTGTAAGTCAAGAGTTGCAAACCAGTCTCCTAACTCTAACGAGAGAATTATTGCTGCAAGGGTCACCATCCTGAATTTCTGCTATTTTACATATCTGTTTAGAAACCTGAAGTCTAAAATTGACCTTTAGCCTCCATTCTTTTTGGGAATCAGGAAGTACTTTGAATAGAATCCCCTTTCCCTGTGCTGTACAGGAACTAAATCCATTGCTCGTAAATGTAGAAGTGAGGCCATCTCTTGCACCAGCTATTGATTGTGAGAGGGGTCCATGAAGAGGGACAGAGAGGGGGAAAGGGTAGGAGGGATAGATTTGAAATGGATAGTGTAACCAGATGTTATGGTTTCCAAAACCCATTTGTCAGATGTTATATTCTCCCATTCAGCCTGAAAATGGGAGAGGTGGCATCTGAAAGGAGAGAGAATGGTAAGATATTGTAGCTGTAAAACCTTGTTGACTGGATGGTTGATACTCTTGACCAAGCCAGAAAAACTATCGCTTGGAGGATGTGGATGGCTGATTAAATGTAGCTGAAGGAGGAATTTTTTTTTTTTGTATCTTGGTCTCTTAGACCAGGGTTCAGATGGTCCATGATACACTGATACGGGATTGGGTATGTGCTTCATGCCATCTGAGATCTACTAAATCCCCTCTTATTTACAGGGGTATAAATCCCTAGGGATTGCAGTGTGGCTCTTGAGTTCAAGCGTGGAGAGATCTATCAGTCTAGTCTGCAGAGAGCTTGCAACCATCAAAATGGAGGTCTTCTACGGTTCTCTGAACCTCTCTTGGGAAGCCCGACAGCTCCAGCGAAGAAGCTGTTCTAATGACCATGGCAGTGCAAAGAGACTATGCTGCAGTATCCGAAGCGTCCAAGGAGGCCCAGAGCAATGTCTTTGCCAGGAGTTAACCATCTTGTGCAATGGCCTTAAACTGGTCAAGATATTCCTCTGATGGGTGCTCAATTAAGGAATAAAATTTGTTGCAATTTAAATAGTCGTATTGGGCCATGAGTGCATGATGGTTTACTATGCTGAACTGAAGCATAGGATTTGAGACCAAAAATTGAGCCTCTTGTGGTCCTTACTGTACAGGGTGGACTTTGAGTTATGTTATCTGCCTCACCAATTTATTTACCTACAAAGACCCAAATTCAGGGTTATCTGTCCATGTAGAAGCTGATAAAAATCACTAACATAACGCATAAATGGGAGCTCTATGCATAGCACTGCTATATGACCTGGCTTTTAAGCAGCACAGGGAATATAACTCCCTCAACACAGGTTTCAACAGGCAGAAAAAAACATCTGTTAACTTTTTAAAAGTACTTGCAATTTAAGTGTATCTACTGAATTAATAGCCTTGGATCTCAAAAGTTTATGCTTTAACAAAAAGACAATTCACATTTAAATTTTACAGATATGCTTGTGCACAGTGGGGATAGAAGGTAGAATCTGTGTATTTTTGAGTATTTTACCATAAACATACTGCTCAAATAGAATGCATAAGTGCTGTTAAATTCTCCAGTAGTAGCAATAGTATATGATAATAGTTCCATATGCACTGGTTATAGACCAGTGAAGGAAAAATGCTGCAAGGATTATATTAAAAACCAACACCAGAGGGCGATAAAAAGCAACAAAATTTCTGATAGTATAAAGGAATTTAAAACCAAAATCATAATCCTTACCTCTAGTTTAGTGTCTTCTAAATTTAAAAAAGTTATAAAACTGAAAGTTGTGTATCATTTGTTCCAAAGATATGAAATTCCCTCAGAGATCTAGATAAACTGTTTCAGATACAAGAGGCTGTAGCTATAAGGACATTTCCCCTATTATTTATATCTTAATACATTTAATAACGCAGTGATGACTAATAATACTTTGCAGCTTCTGTGGAAGGCCCTCAAGGAATTTTACAAACAATGATTTTAACATCACAATTCCTATACAATACAGATGAGGATTATTCTTTCAATTTTAGAAATAAGGAGAGTGAGTCTCAGAGAAGCTAGATGACTTGCCCAATGGGACAAAGAAAGGCTGTGGAAGAGTAAAAAAAATATTACCTAGATTCTCTTGATCATCATATTCCTGGCTGGATTCTTAGTATATGGTGACTTTCTAAAATATGGGAAGCCTGTGACACATTTATAAAAATGGGTATATGCACATTTTAATATCTGTATCAAAATGAAGGGGCAAACTGTATAAAAAAGTAATAATATAAAAATATACATTGTTATGTATCTCTGAAGTGTAATGTAAAATTATTCCAAAATTCCAACTGTATCAAAATGAAGGGGACTATCAAGGGAAAAGGGAGTGAGAGAAGGACCTCAAATGGAGGGGAGGGATAGCTCAGTGGTTTGAGCATTGGCCTGCTAAACCCAGGGTTGTGAGTTCAATCCTTAAGGGGGCCACTTGGGGATCTGGGGAAAAATCAGTATTTGGTCCTGCTAGTGAAAGCAGGGGGCTGGACTTGATGACCTTTCAAGGTCCCTTCCAGTTCTAGAAGATGGGATATCTCCAAATGTCTCTGTTGGTTGGGGAGAGGGTGTTAAGGAGAAGAAACACAGATGGCATAAGGAAGACTGAAATAAAGGACAAGAAAAGAAAGATGGGAAACTGCAAAACAATTTTTAAATCATTACTCAAAACCACCACAAAAACCTAAGTAAGTTCAAGCTACAATTCCATCTTGGGGCTCTGGTGACATGAACAACTACTTAAGCTTTGCTCTTGTGGCTTATCACCACCAGACTTCTTCAGTGCATATAGAGATATATTTTAATAGCTGGGGGGAGCACTGGGCTGATTCTCCAGGCGATTATGCCACTGTGTATATAAACAGAGCAAAGTGAACTTAGGCTGGCTGGAAATAGCTGGTGGAGAATTCTTCCTCTACACAGCTCTACACTAGCAGAAAGCTGGAGAAGGCAGCACTGTCACTTTGTGCCAGACTCCCCACTCAGCATTAGTGGATGGAGGGAACATGGTTTGGTGGTAGGACATGGGTAAGACGAGGAGGGGAGCAACACCTCTGTTACAGCCACTTCCTTCACTGTCATGCCAGTAGTGCGAATTAGGGCTGTTGCTGTTCAGCCTAACTTGCATAAAGGCCAAGTGAACGTGAAAAAAGGAACTACAGCCTGAGATCTGCCAACATCACTTTATTCGACAAGAATCACAGCCATTATTACCAAACATTAACATTCAATATTTATACTTTATATTCTGTTTACTAAAACATTTTCTTCAATTCACCAGATGTGTAATTAATGCAAAAAACTATCTTAATGGAACTTAAACCTATTGAAGTTAAAAGGCTATCTCTGTTCTTCCTCACAAACTCTTCTAGACCTTTGATTCAGCGGTTCTCTTTGGGATTTTTCTCGTTCCAATCTATCCTTATTACTGCTACTGATGCATATGTAATACGAAAAAACTTGAATTTAGTGATTACATAACGGGGTAATATGACATTTTGAGCACTAGTTGTATCAATATACAAGAAAATTTACATGAAACATTACCGAGAGATTTACATTTTGGCCATGTATTACCTATTGTAGCTTCAACTGGATAAGTTTTTTATAATTTTGCCCTAAAGACAGTGTTGTTGGGACAAAAGGACTGGTTGTTACCACTCCCTAAATAGTTCCACTTCTGTGATGGGAGAAATCATGAATGCACACACTATCCTGAGAGCAGTTTTGTATCCCTTTAGGGAAAATTCTATAGAAACAAGTAAATCTAATCAAATAGCTTGACAAAGCTCTAACGATAACATTAGAGAGAGAGAACCAAACTTTCCCAAACTTCTATATCTTGTGCACACTACTTACATGCATGTGTTATTAATAGCATCATCCGGACAATGTCCTGAACAGTAGCACTGTAGAAAAGGTAAGGTGTCCTCTGGAGCCAATGTTACTCCATTTGCCTGTTTCTTCTGGTCAGGATTTGTCTTCATTCCTGTGCCATGGAGCATGCTGTCTAGATTTTGCCCTGTGTAAAAACATAAAAAGATTTTTTCCATATATGCTCTTCTTTTGCAACTAGATGAAGATATTCATCTACAGTGAAATGCAAAGTACTAGCAAATGGTAATACAAATTGGTTTGAGGATTATACAGTACACAGACGAAAGAAAATTTATTTTAATAGGAATTGTGGGTTAGCTCCATATTTCTGAGATAAACTAGTTATTAGTGGAATTCTGAAACATTCTGATCAACCAGCAGATCTCTTATTTATGGTGTGTACATTTTGTGCCATTTACAATCAATGTAAACAGAAGAAGGATACCTTTCACTTGTAAAAACTCAGGTGCAATGGAAGAGTGAAAATATATGAATTCTCTTTCTAAGCAAGCCCTTTTCATTCACATATGTTTTTAGAACCAACGTACTGGCGGCTTGAGAACCACACCAAGACAATTGCTTTGTGGGGGAGCTAAAGGTACTTAACCTGTAAGTTTTTCTTCTCTTTAGTCATTTCACTGGATTTCCACACTTGCGTCTTTATTTTCCAACTGAGAACTCTGCAAGACTAAAATAATCTTTGTTCTCAATCAACTGAAATGCAACTTGCACATCCACAATGCTTAAATATATTGTCAGTGAGCCTAAGTAATGCTCCAAGTAGTCCTCAACTTCTCTGGGCTAAAAAATGACTGAACAATAGTTTTTCCAGGCTCAGGTCACTGGAGTGCCAGTGAGAGTGGAGGTGGTGGCATAAACAGATCGAGCTGACCTCCCACCATCGTGGAGCTACCAGGTCCATTCCCCTAGCAGCTACCTCAGCAGGCATACCTCTTGTACTTCACTGGTTGACAGACTCTCTCTGCTTCCCCTCCACTTCCTGCCCACACCTATGCTACCCAAATTAACGTCCCCATTAGGAAATATCCCTATTCATACAAAGGGGCCAATGTGATCCTTAAATGTATAAACAGGGGATTCTTGAGTAGGAGTAAAGAGGATCTATTACCCCTTTACTTGGTAGTGGTGTGACTGCTACTGGAATACTGTGCTCCGTTCTGGTGCCCACAAATCAAGAAGGACGTTGATAAAATTGGAGAGGCTTCAGAGAAGAGCCAAGAGAATGATTAAAGGATTGAAAAATATTCTTTAGAGCGAAAGACTCAAGGAGCTCAATCTATTTAGTTTAACAAAGAGAAGGCTAAAGGGTAATTGGATCATAGTCTATACCAGAGGGGGCAGGAGGGGTGCGGCGGGGGCTCAGGGCAGGGAGTGCAGGAGATGTGCAGGGTGCGAAAGAGGGCTCAGGGCAGGGAGTTGGGGTGTGGGGTGTAGGGGGGTGGGGGGTATGGCAGGGGGTTGGGATGCAGGGGGGGGCAGGGGGCTCAGGGGGGGGGGTGGGGGGGTGGGGTGCAGGAGGGCTTCGGGCTCTGGCCCGGAGCCACTTACCTAAAGCGGCTCCAGGGTGGCAGCGGCGCACACGGGGGCCAGGGCAGGCTGCCTGACTGCCCTGGCCCCGGCCCTGCGCCGCTCCGTGAAGCAATTGGAACCATGTCCCTGCGGCCCCTGGAGGAGGGGGGACGCAGGGCTCTGTGCGCTGCTTGCCGCTCCTCCAGGTACCTCCCCCGAAGCTCCCATTGGCCACGGTTCCCCGTTCCCGGCCAATGGGAGCTGCAGGGGGGCGGTGCCTGGAAACCAGGGCAACACACGGAGCCCTCTGCTCTCCCCCCGGCCGCAGGGACGTGATGCCAGCCGCTTCAGGGAGCGGCGCAGGGCTCGAGGGGGGCAATCCCGTGGGTGTAGTTTGCCCACCCCTGGCCTGGAGGTAGGCCGGGGGGCGCGCGGGCCGCAGGAAATAGCCCCGCGGGCCGCATGCGGCCCGTGGGCCGCATGTTTGAGACCCCTACTCTATATCTATCTATCTGGGGAACAAATTTGATAACAGGCTCTTCAATCTAGCAGACAAAGATATAACAAGGTCCAAAGTGTAATTAACCAAAGGGTTGGGGAGGATTCTCCATCACTGGCAATTTTAAAATCAAAATTAGATGGTTTTATCAAAGTTATGCTGTTGTTCAAACAGGAATTAAATTCAGGAAAGTTCTACACCCTGTGTTCTACAGGAGATAAGACTAGATGATCACAGTGGTTCTGTCTGGCTTTATAATCTATGAATCTCTCACCCTCTACTAATGTCCATGGCTCACATGTCCTCAGAGGGTGAACTGAGGTTTGCAGACATCACGTCCTGATCCAGTGAATCTTGCACTTTTGCCGTGGAAGTTTGCAACAGTCTTGTGTTGGAAGCTTAGGATGCTGGAAAGGGAGTCCAGCATATATGACTGTGACTGAATCCACCCCCCTGTACTCACACCCTACACAACACTACAATAATCTTTGAACAGCATGTGCTTTGTCAGGTATCATTTGAAAGCTAATACATTGCTGGTCAAAAATATCGTGGTGAAATGTAGGTAGCAACATTATATGTAAATCATGACTGAAGTGTGTTTACCAGACAAGTCTGGGGAGTAGGTAAACCTGTTTCTCAAAGAACAAGCTGACGCCTCTGCTCAGGTGTCATCAAAGCTGATGTGCAATCACCTGTCAAGTAGCCATTCTTATACAAAGAACTGGGGAAGGAACAGATTGAGCTGCATTTTAGCAAACAGCAGCATGGAACCTCTCACCACCAGACTCCTGGTCTCTGACCTCCCAGTGGGAATGAACTTTATCTAGGGGTAACCATCAGGAAAATGTATTTCAAAGATGGACTGAACTATAAAAGTGAGGGGCAAAAACACTCCAAGGTATCTCTCCCTATCCATCTCTCTCTTTTACCTAAGATGACAAAAGCCACAGCCTTTGGACTTTGGGGGCAGATCCTGGCCTGAGAATTTGGTCAGCAATGTTACTGGGAACATGTTAAAGGACTTCATCTTGAACCAATTCTAGTTTCTTAAGTTTTAGTACTAGGAAACATTTTATCTTTATTTCTCTTGTAACCATTTCTGATTTTAATACCTTTTGGAGTGTGTTGGGGTCACCCTGCAAGTGGTAACCAGGGTTGGTGGAAACCAGAATGTGACTGGAGTGTGCTGGGCACGCTGCAATATACACAGATATTCACGGTATGACCCGCATGCTGCCTGGCTGTTTGTGAGGGGTCCAGGTTAGGAGTTACAGCAGCAAAGCAAGGTTGCAAGACAAGGGTGACACCCCCCCCTCACTGGTCTGGATTGCGCCCTGGAATGTCATAATGGCATCTTTAGAAAAATCCAGTTACAACTCAGTGGACAGAAATATGTCTTCTCAAAAAGCAGTATGACTTTTACTAAACTGTACACATTTATTTTGTCTTCAAATGTCAGTCCTGAACAGAAAAGTCCGTTAAAAGGGCCTATTTCACAGATTGATATGATTCCCTGTCAAATCCACCAAGACCTAACTTTATAGTAATAAGGACATCGTTCTAACATTATATTTCATCCTCTTAAAACAGTATGCTAGATTAGTCCTTATACTTTACACAGCCACATGCGAGATGAAATACTTGTGAAACTTGATCTCATTTCTCTCATCACACAGACTTGCAGACTTCACCACCAGATTAGTATAGCATACTGAGTGTATTTTCCAGCTGCAACTATTTACTTTCAAGTAAGTAAAGAAACTGTGTTTAGTTCAGACCTTACTAATAAAAAACAAACCCCGAAAACAATGGCAAAAAGTTACAGCAAAACTTCCCATGTCTTACATTATAATATTAATATTCAACTAGTCTCACCAATGTTCTTATGTTAGAAATATTTCAAATAAACACATGACTAAGAAAGGTGCTTGTAAATATAAATGAAAGTTATGCTCAAGGCTCAGTGTGCTATGCAGCATGTTAGACTTAAGTGTGCACCAGGTACCATGATTTATGTGGCAAGTATCCTGAATTTATTCAGCACTGACACCTCCAATCTTTTTCCCTTCTATTTAACTCTGCTGTAGTTCCCTTCTTAACAAGTCTGAAACGTCATTTCAGTACCAGATTGCTGCTGATATAATGAATGTGGAAACAAAGTACTTAAGAGACACTACATAACTCTGATCGATTTAGTGAACAGACTATGTAGCTCCTCCTTTCAGTCTTCATTGAAAGAGGAAATCTCAGTAGAGGTGTTTTCTTGTTGCCTTTTATGTCTCTAGCTAGTTTAATCTTGTTTTGTGTCTTGGCCTTTCTAATTTTGTCCCTACATGCTTGTGGTTGTTTAGGTCAAGTTACAAAGGATGAATATAGTTTCCACTTTTTGTAGGACTCTTTTTTGAGTTTCAGATCATTGAAGATCTACTGGTTAAGCCAGCGTGGTCTCTTGCCATACTTCCTACCTTCCCTACGCACTGGAATAGTTTGCTCTTGTGCACTTAATAATGTCTCTTTGAAAAACTGCCAACTCTCTTGAACCTTTTTGTCATCTTAGACTTGGTCCCCATGGGATCTTGCCTACCAACTCCCTGAGTTTGCTAAAGTCTGCCTTCTTGAAATCCATTACCTTTATTGTGCAGTTTTCCATCTTACCATTCCTTATAATCATAAAATCTATCGTTTCATGATCACTTTCACCCAAGCTGCCTTCCACTTTCAAATTCTCAACCAGTTCCTCCCTATTTGTCAAAATCAAATTAGAAGAGCCTCTGCCCAGTTGCTTTCCCCACCTTCTGAAATTAAAAAAAATATGCACCAATATATTCCAAGAACTTGTTGGATAATCTGTGTCCTGCTGTATTATTTTCCCAACAGACATCTGGGTAGTTGAAGTCCCCATCAACACCAAGTCCTGTTGTCACACACTGTACCATATGATAAATTTTGTACAAGATATGCCTTGTGAGGTATCATTTGAAAACCTGGGTGGATAAAATCCAAGTTTTTAAAAAAAAAAATCATTGATTTTTTTAAATTTAAATTGGATTTTTTTGATAAAATGCTTTTTGAGGAAAAAACCTATCTAACGATAGTTTTAATTAAGATACATT